TATATATATATATATATATATATATATATATAGGTGTAATTTTGTTAACACTGAACATCTTTGTTGTCTGGATAGGAGCTCCAAAGGGAAATCGAGAGCCAACGTGACCTACACTTGACCCTAAACGAACGAAGTGGTCAGCTTCTCCAGAGCTTCGAAAGCCAAGATGACGCTCTGCTTTTGAGAAGGAAATCGGAGGAGATGAATCAGAGATGGAACGCCTTGCGTCTCAAAACTGTCTCTCTCAGGTAATTTAAAGCTAGTTAAATGATGACTGTCGTTTACTTCTACAAGCACTGGCTCAAAGGTAAGTAACAACTACTCAGACAATATTATTAGAGATATCATTTTCTTGGCATTTCTGGATAATATTAAAATAATAAATATACAGCACACAACGTTAAACTCGATACACAATTAAGAATGTAAACTCTACACGTTTCGACGTTTACCACGTCCAACAGAAGTGAACTTGCAAGACATAATTGTCATATTTATTTCATTTTAGCTAGATCATGTGACCTGTGTGTAAGTTTACATTTTTTGCATAAATCTCAGAGGAGGTCCCACCACATTCTTACACAGATAATCGTTGGACCTTCGTCTCTTTAATAATTTATTATCTTTTCTTAATCTTTATTATTTCTAAAAATACGTGGATGATATTGGCTCTAATACCCTTTGTTTGAACCAATATTACTGGGTTTTTTTCCATAATACCTTATGTTGTGTTTTCAATCCTTTCATTTTTTACACCTCCCTTATGTTCTTCTAAACGATATTTTAAATTACGTTTTGCTGTCCAATATAAATACTTCCATATTCACTTTAAATTTTATAAATTCCAGCTTTTTCCATTAACTGTATATTATCTTTAGTGTTGCCTAAAATGTGTTTTATCTTATTCATTGGTTTAAATATAGAAAAAAAATATTGTTGTTTCTTTAACACTTTGAATAAATTAGAAGCTAAACCTAAAACATATGATTACACTAAACATTCCTTTTTAATTTTATCATAACTGGTTTTTAAATTAATGCCTTGATCCATGTTACCACATTGGTGAATTTCTTAACTGCTTTATCCACAATAGTTGGATTAAATCCTCTTTCAAGTGCTGTATATTTCATTAGTAACAACTAATTTTTAAGTCCTCTTGTTTGTTACATATTTTCAAAATGCCCACAGTGGCACAGTGGCATGTCTGCGGACTTACAACGCTAGAAATCGGGTTTCTATACCCGTGGTGGGCAGAGCACAGATAGCCCATTGTGTAGCTTTGTGCTTAACTTCAAAGAAAACAAAAATATTCAAAATCCTATGAACACAAGTGTAAAATGCAGACATTTTTTGTGTTTTACTTGGACAAGTTTCAGTATAAGATGCAATTAAGAGTTTAGAAAACACGTTGCTATAAAATAAAACCAGCAGTTGAAATTATTGATATAATAATTCTAACAAAGGTGTGGTAAATAATCCATTTTTTCAGGTTAACAGTGTTTTTATAAACTAAATGAAGGGATAACAATCAGGTCCTCACTTTCACAAAATATAAACCTGATATTTGGATAAGGTATGTAGGTGACACATTATTGGTGTGGAGATATGGTAATAAGGCAATGACAGAGTTTGGAAACTATTTGAATAGCATAGAACTTTATATACAATTTAACTATGAAATTGAGATAAATAATAGTTTGCTTTTTTTAGATGTATTGGTAAAAAGGAATGAACAAGGGTATGTAGAAACATCTGTTTATCAGAAGCCTTCTTTTCTGTTCTTTTGTCACCACACCATGAATCATGTCAAACTGAAACACAAAAAATGTCTGCATTTTACAGTTATGTTCATAGAATTTTGAAGATATGTACAAAACAAGAGGATTTAAAAAAAGAATTGTTACTAATGAAATATATAGCAGTTGAAAGAGGATTTAATCCAACTAATGTAAATAGAGCAGTTAACAAATTCACAAATGTTGTAATAATGGATCAAGGTATTACTTTAAAACCTAGTTATGATAAAATTTAAAATGAATGTTTAGCGTCGCCATATGTTTCAGGTTTAACTTCTAGTTTATTCAAACGGTTTAAAAAAACAGTAAATTTTTTACTCTATATTTAAACCGATGAATAAGATGAAACACATTTTAGGTAATACTAAAGATAATAAACAGTTATATTGGACAGACAAAACGTAATTTAAAATATCGTTTAGTACAACATAATATAAGGGATATGTAAAAAATGAAAGGACTGAAAATGCGGCCATAAAAGAACATGTAAAAAAAAAAAAAAAAA